CTTCACCTCCAAGATCGTCTGAGACCAGCCACCCGGACAGCTGCTGCAACAGTCGGTTTGCATAACCAAAGAATTTCTGCACAAACTGTCAAAAACGGTCTCAGGGAAGCTCATCTGCATGCTCGTCATCCTCATCGGGATCTCTACCTGACTGCAGTTCGTCGTCATAACTGACTTGACTGGGCAAATTCTCACATTCGATGGCATCTGGCACTTTGGAGAGGTGTTCTCCTCATGGATGAATCCCGGTTTTCACTGTACAGGGCAGATGGCAGACAGGGTGTAGGTATAAAAGTGGCTTTTGACAAAAGCTTCTCAAACAGTAAGAGTAAACAATGTAATAACTCAAAATCCACTGAGAGCTTAAGCAATATTAAGTAATTTGTGTTTCATGTTCTTCTTTGTTTGTATGTATGTTACCATTAAGAGTTTGGGATCGGTAAGATTTTTTGACGTTTTTGAAAGAAGTCTTATGCTCACCAAGACTTCTGTATTTGATAAAAAATAGATTGTACTGTTGTACATAGATTGTACTATACAGTCCTATTGTGAAATATTATTACAATTTAAAATGACTGTTTTCTATTTTGATATATTTTAATATATTTTTGTGGAAACTGGGATTTTTTTCAGGATACCTTGATGAGTAGAAAGTTAAAAAAAAGTATTTATTTGAAATAGAAAGCTTTTGTAACATCATAATTATGTTTATTGTTCATTGTTTATTGATTTTGATCAATATAATGTGTTCTTGATGAATACAATTTTATTTGTTCAATAATTTACCAATTTGTAAAATAATTTCTGGGGGTTGGAATAAAAATAATTTTACCAACAAAATGCCAAATTTAGACGGATGCCCATGTTTTCTGATAGTGAAACAAGTTACAACCTACCACAAAAACTCTGAGTTACAGAAGTGTTGCAGGCATCCCGGGTCTCCTCTTAATCAGTATATTGAGGCATTAGTATCAGCCATTGGTCACAGATCCAGGCATGTGCTTGTCCCCATTTTTCTCTGATCTCACAGTTGGTGCAGATGGTGCTGGTGTTGGTTTCCCTAGCTACCGTGTACTCAGTCAAGCCAATAACACCCAGACGCTATTGGAGAGTTTTGGACCTTTGGGCTAGTTAGATGGTAGACCGCCCCAGCACATGTGGCTTTGTGTTTAGAAGACTAAAAGGCAGCGGTGCCACTTCTTATTGCTCTGAATTTCCCCTCTGGCCACTCTAACAATAGAGAAGTACTACCAGCCGCCTGTGCAAAAACAGCAATTACGGCATTGGGCATGAGTCCAGAACATACGCCCTATGAACAGAGTTCAAGAATGGACCCAGCTGTACAAGAACCAAACAATCTGAGTTTGTTGCTGCATTCGAAACACTGCAGGCCTGGACACGACCCTTAAATAGAAAGTCTATTCAGGCAAAGATTTCTAATTAGCTTGAATGTTTATGAATGGACAGTCCCATATCATGCAGATGGAAGGTGTACGTATCACTTACCATCACTGTTGATGCACTGTACTTGTGGGTTCTGGGTTCCCGGTCCACATGCTTTGTCATTGTCAGGCACACATTCTTCCAGCTTCACCAGCAGCCATTCATAGCAACTGGGCTCCTCACAGGGAATTGCCTCTGTCAGGTGGGGGCAATTTCCTGTGCCACCTGTGGGCTCATTCATGATTTTCCTTTTCCTTAGTTTGAAACCTGTCAAAGAACACAGATGAGACTCAAAGTTATTTGTGTCACTGATTTAGTCAGTTGAGTTAATCGGTGGGAGTAAAGAGTGCAGGTAGAGTTAAATCATGTAAAATAATCAAACAGTCATCCAAAAAAGTAATTGATAAGCAAATATATCTGTTCAAATGACTTTTTCTCTTTATTGCAAATTCAACAAGCTTTCACATTCACATAATTTCAAATAAGCTATATCATGCAATAACAGGTCATTATACAAAACAAAGAAACAAAGACCCTTAAACTATTCATTAACTCAAAATCAAGATCAAATAAAATATAAATATTAGATTAAAAATTATTATATAAACTATTTTGTAAAATTTATTTTATAAAAATTAAAAATTAGACATGTTGCCTTGAAGTACTAAAATTACTAAATCAAAAAATAAGGCTAAATATAAATATTTAATAATAATAATGATAATAATAATGACAAAAATATGCAAGAAAATGACTAAAACTAAAATGAAAACTATAAAAGATGAAAAACAAAATATTACTATAATAGTATATAAATCATTTAAAAATAACATTGAAAAAGATAATATTATATATAATTAATGCACTATAAATATTAATATACTGTTTATTGTACTATAACATAACATTTTAGGAAAATAAATGGAATGTAGGGAATAATATATATATATATATATATATATATATATATATATATAATACACAAATATCTTACAAAGAATAGATAAAATAATCACTTTGTGATGTTGTTGGACAATCATTCGTTTCAATTAGTCACAAATTGCATTCATGCTTTTCCAAATTAAGCAGTTTGTGGATGGAGAAATTCTTCTCCTGAAGTTCCCACCGACCCAACGTTTACCAGACTAGTGTCTGAACTAATTGACTTAACTTAACTAATGAATCCCTTCCGTTAGCCCGCTAAACTGTCTCAGTGTGTCATTGCACAATCACTGTAATACTGCATTAAACATGTCAGTCCATTAAGTGTGCAAGATGACAGAAATTACTGGAGCAGCTCATCATTATGAATTTTATTATTCCTTCCTCATTACGCTTGCCTTTCACCAAAGGGACTAATGCATTCAGCAATCCATTAATACAAAAGAGGTTTTGGCGCCAGGGGTATTCCCATTCAAGAGCAGGAAAAGGGCTCCAGAGGGATAAAAATGGGTGGACTGGACTCATGACCGGCGCAAGGTCACCTATATGTACCCTGCCATCACCCTCCTCTCTCTGGTCCCTGGCCTCTGGTTTAATCCACATTGCTGTCTGGGGCCGATAAGGTAATACGAGAGAGGGGGGCCTTGAGGAGTTAGTTGGAGATGCCAGCGTTGTCCCTTTTTCTGATTACTTCTGTCCTGCACTCTCCTCCTGGCTTTATTTAATCAGAAGGTCAGCGTAGAGCTCATTGTGGGTGTGTAAGGGGATTGTATCACGTCCTGTCAGTCAGCCTGGAGGTGTCTGATGGCATATGCTGCCTCTGTCTCTTTATCAGACAAAAGCACGATACTGGGTTTCATATGAGCCCCTGTTAATAAAAAATAGACAAAAGGCACAGGCGGACAAAAATCTCTTCAGGATCTCATGGGTCATCACGTCTAAGGTGCACACTGACATGTTATTGGGGCCTCAGGTTAAGATGTCACATGTAATTTGTACTTTATCTCCCATCAAGCTCATTTTTGTAGCTTGTTCAGGCTATAATAAAGATTATCAATATATATTATAAAAGAACAGTCTCACTGTCAGAATAACAGTTTATATCTGCATCCATCATTTGTAGAAGGCAAGACAGCACAGGATTTGGTTGTTGCTTGACATCAAACCAGGACTGCACGGCATTATTGAGAACTGAGTTCTGTTACAAAGATGATTTTGGTTCAAATTTAATTCCAGAATGTGAATCGAGATTGTGAAGATTTTCAGAAACATCTGATGTTTAAAAATATCTAAATTAAAATACTTGAAATATTGTTAAATTATACATTTTACTTTATTTTAGAGGGGAGCAAGACATTGCAAGAGGTAACTGCAAAAATAAAGTCATTCACTTGGATATATATATTTACATATTAAAATATGCATTAATAAATCTGAATATATAGTAATAAAATTAAATTATACTGTCATAATATCAAATAATACAAATATAAATACATATTTATAATCACAAAAAATATATAATATTTTACTGTTTGGTTCCCCAAGATAGATAGATAGATAGATGATCACTGATGCGTTTTGTTAATGTAATAAGCACTGATGTTGTAGTTCTATTCTGTCCTTGTGTGGGAGATACTGTTTGATGATACTGTAAAAAAAAGTAAAAAAAAAAAAAAGCCTTTACTCATTTCGCCACATCTCCCTGAATAATGATAGCCTACATACTGTACATACAGTACACAAGTGCTGAGACCTGTCATTACAGCTATATGGCATGAAGTATGAACCGTGGGCATTTGAAAAGAGAGAGTGGAACACAGATTCGCAGAGAATTCATCATTAAGATGCATGGTGGAGAATTTCCTCCCATCCCATCCTTTTGAGTCGCTTCATTAGGGAAGAGTCAATATGCATTAGTCATGGCACGGGTCGCTGTCCCAGCCATAATTAATGAGAAATGCAGCCAGCGTGCCAGCACCTTTGATACACTATACCAACTGTCAGCAGCATTCGGTAAGCCACCATCATGTGAATCCATCAGATTCGGTTCCTTCCAGGGACCATTTGAAGCTTGTGTTTGTCTCTTTGAAGCCATCTAACCCATGATTTGTCTTTTGTATCTTTCGTGACATGTTTTATTTTTCTGTGGGTCCCCTTTGTTTGTTGTTCCCTCTACAATGGGCCTGGTTCATAAAATCTTTGAGAAAATGAATCTTCTGCCCCAGTAGGCACTGATAAGTTTATGGCCCGGATGCTGATGGCGCAGACAGAGGTGAGAGGTGGGCCGTTGTGAGTTATGTGTTGAAAGGCTTCCCGTACACAATTCATGTGATTTACAATGAAAGAGGATGTTTTATTGATCCGCTCTGTTTTAGCGAAATGGGGGAAATGACCGCTCCCCAAACACAACAGTAAAAGATGAACTGGTCATATAGTTTAAGCTTACCTTTCTTTGTGGACTGATCCTGGCAGTTTTCAAAGGTGCAGGGCCCCCATGCGCTCCAGGAGGACACATCACACTCCACAGGGCAGGGGATATGGCAGAGCTGGGTGGTGTTAGGAGAAACGCCCAGACACAGGTCACTGTTCACTGGCCGCAAGGCTGAGGAAACAGACACACATTGTTACAGTCCCTATAAAAATAGATGGACCAAGTCCAAAATTATTTCAGAAAAAAAGTTTCAGAAGATTTTGTTTTTGAAAGAAGTCTCTTATGTTCACAAAGGCTGCATTGAATAAAAAAATATAGTAAAATTGGGAGTATTGTGCAATATTAATATATATATATATATATATATATATATATAATATATATTATATTTTAAATGTTCCACTGATTCTTTAGAAATCATTCCAATATGGTGATTTAGTGCTCAAGAAAAATGTCTTATCTTTTTTTTTCCTCAGGGTTCTCAGAAATAATCTTTTATAATATTATAATTGTCCTTACTGTCACTTTTGATCAGTTTAATGTGTCATTGCTGAATAAAAGTATTCATTTGTTTTAAAAATGGAATAGTGTATATATTAAATATATGTTTTAGTAGTTTTGTTTGTTTGTTTTAATTTTAAATGTATTAAAAACGATGGTGGATTTGGTGCCGTCTCAGTACCTTAAAAGGTAATGTGAAGCATTTCAATATATTAGTTAACATTAAATAAAATTATACACGTCTTTACTGTCACTTTTGATCACTTTAATGTGTCCTTACTGAATAAAAGTAATATTTCTAAAAAAAAGAAAGAAAAAGAAACTGCTGAAAAGTGTACATACTGAATACTATTTTGAGTAGTATTTTTTATATACATTATAAATATAATATAAAAAAATGATGGGGGAATGGGGGCTGGAGATGATGTGAGTCGGACTCAAATTTATGTTGCTCACACGTGTACCAAAAAGTACCTAAAAAGGTAATGTGAAGCATTTCAATATGTTTGAAAATTCGAACATGAGAGATAAAATGACATGATCAACATCATTCTCATAAACAAGCACTTCTGATTGCACATGTTTTGCTAGACATCTCCCAAGACCCCTTTTGTCCTTGTTTTCTTTTTATCTGTAACCAGCACTCAGTGCAAGTGTGCGTGCAGCTCCGAGCCGTATGTGACTTTCTGCAAGGTCAGTGCGTGAACAGATCTGCTGCCAATACCCTTTGACGGATCTTCTCTTCATTCACATGCAAATTGCTTCGTGTCCAAAAGGTGTTTTCTGTGCACTTTGAGCCATTTCTAAAATCATTCCGTTAACACATGTGTTTTGTGTGTGTGTAGATTTTCAGTGCGATCTAAGTGATTGATTGCATAGCCAGAGTCATTAATGATTTATATGAGCTTGTTTAAAACAGAAATTAAAAGTTTTTTTTGTGAAGTGCTCCTCTGGGACAAACACCCACCGGAACGCTCAATTTAGCAAGCTGAATTTACTTCCAAAAGTGACATGTCAAAAAAATTAAATAGCTGTCAAATTGACAAAACTGATTTGCAAAAAATGTCAAATTGACTTGCAAATGCAAGTTCCCTTGTTCCCACAAACAGACTTGTCTCCATGCACTCTGTATTTCTTATTAGGAGTTGGCTGTGCTTTTAAGGTATTGAGGTGGGCTTCCTGTCTCAGCGGCTCACGTTTTGTTGCCCTGTTAACCCAGTCTGATTAATGACCCTCTCCTTGTAGGTTGACTTTATTCAGGTGGCACAACACTCGCTTGGAGGCCAGGTGGTCTGCTGTTTGCCCATCCAGGGTTTCCCCGGCCTAATTATGGCACCAGTATCCCATCAGTCCCTCTGTCCGTCTGACAGCCGGCAACACATTCACCTGCTTGCATCACCATCATCATCATCATCATCAATAACTCGGGCCTGCCTGCGGGGCGGTGCTGCACGGATGCTCTGTAACAAAGCCACTGCATTGAACAGCTCACAAAGATCCACGATGGGGTGCAACATTGATTATAATCCGGAGAGAGACACAGCCAAGCCAAAACGAATGAACACTGTTGTTGTGTTCTGCTCTCTGTGACTGAGATGCGTTAATGGATAAATATCGCAACAGCAGCTGCTTTCCCCTGTCGTCTAAATGTCTGAAACCACCCGTGGGGAGAGGAAATCAAGCACAGCTTCCTCAGACCCAAATAGCAGAGCAAGAAGTCGGATGGGAAGCGGCATTGGCAGAGAGTAAGACAACAAGCTGCTTTTGACATGTAAAATGCATATTTTTTTGTTCAGTGCCATTCTGGCATTCATTACATGGGTTTGGGAATCCATAATCCCAAAATGATTGAAAATTCATTTCGAATGCAAACGTCTCGGGTTACTTATGTAACCATGGTTCCCTGAGGGGAATTCAGAAACCGCTGACACGGATGTACACTTTCTAAATTCTCCGCTAGTGCTCGCCATAGTAGGAAAAGAAAAGGCTCTTACTTTGCTTTTGGAATGCACGCTTCAAATAGAACGGTCAGTGAAGACGAAGAAAAAGGATGATGTGCGCTACCGGCGCCTATTTTGTACTAGTTGCGACGGTAGTGACGTCATGGCTGTCGCCGGCCAAACAAGTTGGTGTTTTTTCAATGTAGGCTTCAGACACGGGTCACGACGAGGCGTTCCCCATAGCGACCCCTAGAGGACGCAGTTCGAAGTTTCACGAAAGGGAACAATGTTTTCATATTCGTGGAAACAATATATTTCACTGATTCTTCACTACTGGCAAAACAGAACACACACTGTTTAGGAGGGATTAATGTAAATTAAGGTATTCACCTATGTTTGTTCACCTATCCATTTCCACTTGCTTGAGTTTCATTTAATATGAGTAAACATCGTCAGACCCACACACACACAAAAGTGAAATATTCACTATTATTACAACAAATCTAATGTTTATGCAAGACTACAGTTTCAAACAGTTTAATTTCAAGTTGCATACTGTTAGACCCCCTTTAAATAAAGGAAATTATCTTAAATGTTTTAAATAACATCTCTAAAAATGTGTGATGGAGTTGACAACAAAAAAGTAATGCTTTCTTAAAAGATGCCGATTTTTATTTCTGTCTTAAAATTCATATATATATATTAATCTATACAAATGAAAGGGATAGTTCATCCAAAAATTAAAATTCTGTCAACATTTACTCAGCCACACTTTGTTACAAACCTGTATGAGTTGCTTTCTTCTGCTGAACACAACAGTTGCTGGCAGCCATTGGCTTCCATAGAAGGGAGAACAAAAAAATACTGTGGATGTCAATGGCTACCGTCAACTACTTGGTTACCAACATTCGTCAAAATATCTTCTTTTGTGTTCAACACTAAAACGAAACTCAGGTTTGGAACAACATGATGATGAAATTTTAGTTTTGGGGTGAACTATCGCTTTAAAGGGAATTAGGAGATACCATGAGATTTGATAATGACAATCAAATGTGTGATAGATAGTTCATATAAAAGTGGCTTTGTTGCTGCTTTAAAAAAAACTAATGAAAGGTAAAGTTGTGGGACATGCGTCAAGTATGAACGTTTCATATGTACTGGCATCACACATTGTACTGAAATAGCCAGAGTGCAGACAAACTGTCCAGTTTCTACAGAGGATTTAGCTATGATCCCTGGAACTGAATGACCAGATTAAATCTGCTTAAAGCACACGGTGTCTGTCCTTGAGTAAACCACCGCTCCTGATGCTCTCATTGTCTGGCATTAATGTATATAAATACCTGTGAATAATTCCAAAGGCCCAGTGGCAAATCACTTGGAAATGTCCAATCATGTGGAGCTTGAAATTAAATCCTCTCAAATCTGTCTGAAACTCCCTGAGTGGAAAAGTGCCTGATTGATTCTTCATTGATTAAAAGAGGACAAGGTAAATGAGGAAAAAAAGTAGGGCTGAAAATCTATTTAAAAAAACAACTGAATTAAGTACATGATACACAGATTAATTAATCAAATTAATTGCAATTAATAACATAACAATATTTGCTGAGAAGGATGATGGGTAAAACAAAGAAAACCAAAGGAGAGAAAAAGAAAACAATATGCAAAAAAGAGCATTAGAAAGAGCTAGAAGGTGTGGAAAAGCCTTAGGGGTGTATGTGTGTGTTTGTACGTGTGTGAAATAGGCAGAACGTGTGTGTGAAAGTGTGCAGGTGTTCTTGCACTGTTCCTTTTCTTTATCTCACAGTTCTTCCATCTGTCACCGTGTGACTCGTCAGCGTGCCAGGCCTGTCACCTCCCCCAGCAGGAAGCTGCAGTCAGCGCCATGTGCTTCTCTTAAGGCTACATTACGGATGGGATTCCAACACTGTCTGGCAAAACTTCATCACAGACAGGAGGCTGGACACTAAGGTCCTGATTCACCAAGATGCACATCAAAAAAGATACAAACTTGCTTGTGCAATGTAATGAATTGCATGTGCACTTTTTGGGTGTATTGTGGTTGTCTCACTAAATATTTTCAAGGTGATGGATTACACCATTTCTCTAATGTACAAACTACCAGTGAAAGTTGGTGAGAGTTTTTTTAATTGTTTTATTAATACTTTTATTCAGTAAGGATGTATTAAATGAATCAATAATGACAGTAAAGATTTCTACATTCTTACTAAATAATTTGATGCTGTTCTGAAAATAAAATAAAATAAAATAAAATGCATCCTGGTTTCCACAAAAAAATATTAAGCAGCAACTACTCAACACTGATAATAAGAAACATTTCTTGAGCATAAAATCTGCATATTAGAATGATTTCTGAATCATGTGACACTGAAGACTGGAGTAATGGCTGCTAAAAATTCAGCTTTGCCATTGCAGGAATAAATGACATTGTAAAATATATTCAAATAGTAAACAGTTTTTAAATGGTAATACTATTTCACAATATTCCTGTTTTTACTGTATTTTTAATCAAATAAATGCAGCCTTGGTGACCATAAGAGACAAAAAAAAATTTTTTTTTAATCTTACCAACACCAAACTTTAGAACGATAGTGTAGGCTATATGTGAAATAATTAAATAAAATACCCAGGTACGACAATCTCAAACCAATTTCAAAGCGATTCCAGATAATATGTTGCAAAAACGAAAATTTTGCATTATTTATTTACACATGCATCAGTCCATGCATTACAGATTTGTTCAATGAAAAACATTTTAAAAGTTACGTTAAGGCAAACTACGAACTGCAAAAGGCAAACTATCAACTGTGCTCAACAGTGATGCATGGTTTTTGTTCTGGAACTTGATCTGCTCACAATGATCTTGGTGTTATGTAGAAAATATCAGCATACTGGCAACAAAAATGAACTACACTGACTACAAGATGCCTATGTTGATCAGCTGAAAGACATAATCCTCAATAGACAATGTTTGCAGATCAGCATAGGCTTTTTTCAAGTAAAATCATGGTTTACAGTAGCTGTTAAATACACCATTGTGAGTGTTAGCCTATTTAAAGTGGTCTCATTTCAAAAGGAAAACTGCTTTCAGTGTGCTTTGTCTTTCTGTCTGTAGTGTGACCAAGCCATACCAGGCAATGACTGCTTGAGGACATCTGTGGACATTTGAATAAGTTCCCTAAGAGGTCGGCAGTTCAGCTCTCAGAGCAGATGGCAGGGGAGTTTCTGTGTCAGTCCGAGAGTGAACACAGGCCCGGCACCAGCCTCAGCACATGGCATGAGGCACTGGCACCTCCCTGTTTCTGTTGTATTACTCCAGAGAGAATTTGTGTTTGGGTGTATGTGCACCTGTGTGTATGTCTGTGACGGCATTAGCATTTCAATTCCACAGTAGCTGCCTCATTAATTTGTACAGCTCTGCCTTCTTTATTCCTTAATTTCCCCCTGGTGATCTAATTTCAGCCTTTAAAAAGCAATCCAATTATATGTTGGCTTGAGCTGTCTACCACAGTACAAACATCAACTGATCTTTGTCTAAAAGCTCGCAGTGAGCCTCTAAGTCTGCACTGGCGCAGAGGTGACCGGAGACAAAAAGGTAATTTTACTAAATATAACTTTGCATCAAGCATGTTAGTCACACAAACTTTTCAAATATCATACAAGTAGCCGTGCAGTATGGCTCTATATCAGCATGGCTGTGATTCGACCATAGGCACTAGGCCACAGGTCAAAATCACCATCACTAACACAGAGAGCGTTTTGTCAACAATAACAATAACAACAACAACTAAATACTAATGTTATGTACAAAAATATTATTGATTGAACAATAACATTTAATAAACAACAATAGCCATTATAAAAGCTCCAAAGCAATTCAGTCAAAAGTACAAAGACAGCGCTCTGATATAGCATTACAAATATTAAAAAAATACATAAGTTATGAAACTTTGCCCTCAGCCAAAACTATTTGCTCTGGAAAAAAAAGAATAGATAAATGAGACCAAAAACTGGCCGTTAGATATACCTAAGCCGAATCATAGCTCGTTTAATCACTATAGAGACATCAGAGCCGGCGGAAAATTCCAGAACTGGAGCTCACATCTCAGAAAACCTGAAAGTATATTTACAAATAGGTGCTATCTTTATGAACAAACCACATATTTGAACATTGATTGAACGTGTGGTCGCATATTGCACATGGATGAACTTTTTTTAATGTTACCGCTAGCATAAACAATGTATGCACAACAAATGTAACATGGTGTTGACTGCAGCCCCTGTTCTCGCTAGTAACAGAGCGGTCGTCAAATTCTAATGTTTATCTATTAGATCAGTGGTTCTCAAACCTCTCCATGAAGTACCTCCAGCATGGCACATTTTGTATGTCTCCCTATATCTGACACCCATTTCAGGTCTTGCAGTCTCCACTAATGAACTGATGAGTTGAATCAGGTGTGATAGATGAGGGAGACATACAAAATGTGCAGTGCTGGGGGTACTCCAGGACAGGTTAGAGAACCACTGAATTAGATCATCTGGATTCAGTTATATTCACTGAATAGAAAGTGTTTGTGTGCTCGTTATTGCGTGTGGAACCTGCAGCAAACTCAAATAATTGGTGAGGATGTGACAGGAAATTATTGGGGAGAGAGATCAGAATGGGTTCGGGACATATCATTGAACAAGAAAGTGCATTAACCACAAGCAGAGGGTTAAGACACTGGATTTGATAGTTTTGTTACCATCTTTGTTCTTGAGGGAGCTGAGGTTAGATGAGGTTTCAGTGGGGGCTTGAACACAGTAGACCTCCCTGGTTTGAACCCCGCCTCCACAGAGCCCTGTCTGGTTGCTCCGGCGACGGTCCTGTTGGCTGAGGAGCACGTCCACCCTGCAGTCACTCCACTCTGTTGTTCGCCAATTATACCTGCGGAGACAGAGGAAGAAAAATTGTGAACAGACGAGTGCTGATGATTATTTAATGCTCTCTTAATTTATCCTCTGAAGGCTAAAGATTGAGACAAGATTGAGAGTAAAGATTTTATTTCGTTTTTTTTTCTACACAAAAATAAACTGTACTTTGGTCTGTCCTTCGGAGTTATAAATATAGATGATTTTAAATAGACTAATCAGAAGGCAAGTCAGTCAGGATGTGCGCTAAGGTCATGGTTTTATTGAGCATCATTGAGTTTGATGGCTGGGCTGCTGCTTTTTGATTTATCATGTTAGCGAAAGAACACTAGGGAAACAGCATCAAAAGCTGAGCTATGGATAGAAATGTTGCAACAAAAATGACACACTCTGTACTTATTATCATATGCATGTTTGATTTGATTTTTTCCCCTGTCCAGAGACACCCTTATGAAAATTAACCATGGGTTTATTGTAGTAAATGTGTAGTAACCATGGTGCTATTATTGTTAACAAAAACCAAAACCAAAACATTTTTGTTAAAAAAAAAACTGGGAAAAAATTAAGGCTAAACTAAAATGTATGACTACATATCAGTGCAATCAATATTTTGAATTAGCTTTAAATTTCATATTTTCAGTTTTTATTTTTATTTAGTAATTATTTGTGTATTTTTTAATATTAATCTTACCATTTTTAAATATTACTATTAAGTTTTTTCCCCATATACTATATATTACAAATAAATGAGTTTACTTTACTAGTTTTTTTCATGTGTTTTAGCTGACTTGTTAAATGTTATGTTATGTTATGCTATGCTATGCTATGTTATGCTATGTTAAGCTATGCTATTTTATGTTATTTTATGTTATGCATATTTTGGATATTTGTGTTATGTACAAATATTTAAATGACACACTCTGTACTTATTATCATATGCATGTTTGATTTGATTTTTTCCCCTGTCCAGAGACACCCTTATGAAAATTAACCATGGGTTTATTGTAGTAAATGTGTAGTAACCATGGTGCTATTATTGTTAACAAAAACCAAAACCAAAACATTTTTGTTAAAAAAAAAACTGGGAAAAAATTAAGGCTAAACTAAAATATGTATGACTACATATCAGTGCAATCAATATTTTGAATTAGCTTTAAATTTCATATTTTCAGTTTTTATTTTTATTTAGTAATTATTTGTGTATTTTTTAATATTAATCTTACTATTTTTAAATATTACTATTAAGTTTTTTCCCCATATACTATATATTACAAATAAATGAGTTTACTTTACTAGTTTTTTTCATGTGTTTTAGCTGACTTGTTAAATGTTATGTTATGTTATGCTATGCTATGCTATGTTATGCTATGTTAAGCTATGCTATTTTATGTTATTTTATGTTATGCATATTTTGGATATTTGTGTTATGTACAAATATTTATGATTTTACAACAAACTATTTATTTTTAATAAAACAGTTACAACCATATCCAATTAATTTATGTTCATTTCAGTAAAGGTCTTAGTTCTGAGTTCTAGAGTTCTGGCATGAAACTCTAGATGGCGCAGTCCGATAGGTCTAGTTCAATCTAATCTGGTGACATCATTGTCACATGGCAGCTGATTGCTTCTCTCCTGTATCGGTAGCTCAATGAGCTCGCTGCTCAATATTCAAATACCTGGCTTTTGTTTGCTGTAGCAGTTGGCAGCGCACTTCAGAAACCCTCCTCCTTCCCCAGCTCCACCTGTATAGATCTGCTACGGGGTGATTCATGTATGCTATATGGGGGTTATTCATATGTGTTATATGTGCAGCAGCAGTATTTCTTACATGCTTACAGCAGCATGTTGTGGATGCATTGGCAGTAGCAAGTATCGGTACTTGCTCTGCTGCAGCAGCAGCAGCGTAGCAGATCTATTTTGGCAAGACCAAATACATTAACATCGTCATGTACATTACCATGCCAATCCCTCTGAGAGTTGTCGTGACAGAAATTATAATATGCAAAAATGAGACAACAAAACTTCTGGTTCAGTGTTAACAGTGTGAACACTGGCTGAAAAGGTAAGAACCTCCTCTTTACCTTTGGCCTTTCTCGCTGATCAAAAGCTGAAGGGCATGCTCGGGGGGAAGCTCAGGTAGTGTGTGTGCATGCGTGTGCGCATTTGTGTGCCAGATGTTTAAATGTCCAGTGACCTTCAGTAACAAGTCTTGCTTCAAGCTTTTAGAAGTGTTCAAATAAGAAGAGTAAAAAGAAAGGAGAGCGTCTTTTAAAAAAATGTTTTGACCATGAGTATGCACTCTCTAAACTAAAAGGGAAATGATCCTTTGCTTTGCTTCTGTATTGTAAATGACAGAATATGAAACATTTATTTCAGTTTTTGAATACAGCGGGTCAGATTTTAAAACCAATAGAGAATTCCTGCTGACTTTCCATGGTAATGGCTCTCAACATTTTTCACAGATTCAAAATGAAGCCCATTTGACCTCACAAATGCAGAGCTCCATATTCATGAGCTGTGATTCAGCGAATGTGCTTCTGACAAGACTGCATTCAGAATTTTGCTTTGAGGGCCTCACTTTCCATTTATGCACTATACTTGAGCTACACGTAATGTGTGAAATGAGAAAGCTTTCTCTTTTAGGATACTTGAATGAGTAATGGACTGCATAGCAAATGTTAATGGTTAAATAGCACAATGCACCATCAGCAAAGCAGTATCCCAAAACATATATGAATTAAATTAAGTTGATTCAAATAAACAGATTTTACAAATGTTCACAATATTTTAAAACTGATGTGTCTTGTTTTAATGCACCATAATTGTGCGTATGCAAACGTAAATGTGCTATATCAAATACCAACATTTACAGAGATTAACAATGCAAAATTTGTCAACTTTGATTCAAATAAAGATGTATTAGGGACTTTCACAAAATGCAAAACCTGATGTGACGAGTTTTAATGTACCATATTTTAATGTACGCTCACATGAATTAGATCTGAGAGTTATATTGGATGGAAACACTTACAGAGAGTAATAAGTAAAATTACAGCATTTGTATGATTCGTATGATCATCGAAATGATTCCTTTGGACGACTCTGGAAAATAAACATTAAACAAAATAAAAAACAAAACTAAAACACTAACTCAAAACTCTGCACAGAAGTTCCTGTGTTGCATTTGAGCTATTCTTTTATATTGTAAAAATATGTTTTGTTAAATCCTGCCATTCGTTTAAATGTTCAAGATAATCTAAGCTGTTTTTGTAAGTTTTGTAGTTGTAATTAACGTCAATTTATCTGTTATGTTTAATATCGCCATTATCATTATATATATATAATGTATATATAATTTCCCTATACCTTAATATAACCTAAACCTAAATTAACCCTTGACCTAAATTGAGCTGCATTACAGTTTCACAATAGCTTCTCCAACACTGAATTATACTGAACAACATAAGAGTGAGTAAATGATACAGACTGAACTATCCCTTTAAGAGATTTATGAGATGCTTAACAGTAGGTGAATATTAAATTTTAATGGTTACAAGCCATTCTTGGCCACCTGAATCTCACTCTGGGGGACGACTGGTCATAAACTCCTGCTGTAAAGGATTCTCAGTGACAGCAGTGAAAGCACATGTGGGGTTTGGTGAGAGAGCGTGGCCGGGCACACACTGGGTCAGCACTACAGGAGCACCATTCACCTCCATCAAATACAGGGGGCACCTACTCCACTCTGGTGAGATCCAGTGCAATGAGCTGATGAGTGATGGGGAATGGACCGGCCCATCTGTGGGGGAGATCAGATTATACAGCGTGTGGCCTGTCCTCTCAGACCTCCAGGGTGGCTCTGTGCCAAACCACCAACCACCAAACCGCTGCCATCTCTCCATCAGCCCCAGCAGGACCTTCACCCCCACCCTTGTTCCACACTTCACTCTTCCATCTGCGTTTTAACACGTTCATGCTATCCAAAAGCCACAGAGAGCTATTTCAGAACAATGCAGGCCTACTTATATTTTTTTGTTAAATTATATATTCATATACACTACTGTATGTTTCATGTTTTTGAAAAATAATGTCTCATATGCTAACCAAGGCTGCATTTATTTGATAAAAAAAAAAAATATATATATATATATACCACACACACACAGCTGATTTGTTGTTCAAGAGATATTTCTTATTATTATCAATATTGAAAACAATTATGCTGATAAAATTTTGAGCAAAATGTGACTTTTTTTCCTTTGATTCTTTGATCAATAGAAAGTTCAAAAGAAAAAGAAAAAATATTTTTTAAACAGAAATCATTATAAATTGCTGTCACCTTTGATCAATTTAATGCATCCTTGATGAATAAAAGTAATATTATATTTGTAAAAAGTTTTGATCATTTTAAAAAGTTGAATATCATGAATATGAATATGACATAATATTTAATGGAGTGTAGATTGATGTGAAAAAAAATCTTTTAAAATAGTTTAACATAAGGCAACAACATATTATGTTAAAAAAATAAAAAGTACTGAAGGATCATGTGGCACTGAAGACTGGAGTAATGATGCTGAAAATTCAGCTTTGCATCACAGGAATAAAATATATTTTTATATATATTTAAATAGAAAACATTTATTTTAAATTGTAAAAATATTTCACAATATTGAACTCTTTTTGCTGTATTTTGTATCAAATAAAACCAGCCTTGGTGAGCAGAAGAGACTACTTAAAATAATAATAATAATAATAATAATAATAATACAAATCTTGCTGTTCTAAAACTTTTTACCGGTAGTGTAACTGTTTGTTTTCAGTATTCATTTAACCAATGACACCTTTAGATGCATTATATCAGTTTTGACGTCACTGAGTGTAAATGCTTTACACTCTTATATTAGGTCTAATATAAATATCATGATCCAAGCACCGAAGCAGAATGGACACAGCACTTACACTATACATGGCGGGATTCCTTCTCCTTGAGGAGAACACGGTTCACTCTCATCCAGCTCAGGACACTCGGCTCCTCCACCCACTGAGAACTGCTTCACCTGACGCGTGCGTGTCCTCTGTCCCTTACGCCCATTCAGATCGTAGCACTCCTTTGAGCAGGCAGACCAGTCCAACCACTCGGTCACTTCACAGTCCTTTGGGATGACACAGGCTTGATATGTCACAGGAAGAGTCTGCTGGTTACAATGGCTGTAGGGACACAGAATAAAGTCTGTAATTGATCAATGAATCCAACGTTTATTATAACTAAGCTGCAAAAACATCTTGTTCTGACGTCTGCACTTTTGTGACATCTGAAATATGAATATCAACATTATGTCATTTCTAAACACCAGAAGAAAGAGATCATATTATTTATAAATTATATAATATTTTATAAATAATATAAATAATTATATAATAAATGTAAATAATAGTAATGTTTTATAATTGTATATGAATTGCGAGTAAAAATAAATAAATATAATAATAATAATAATAATAAAAACTCATTATTAGCTAAAAACTTAAAAGCATAAAAACATGAAGATAAAACAGACATCTGAGACTTCAAGACCAGGGAGGATGTCATTCACCTTGTTATCTTTAAAAAAGAAAGATAAATGATCTCAAGCCTGACCAAGCTGTATTCAACCGATCCCATCCAATTACTGTATATCACTTTGTATATGCAATAATAAGCATAATAATCTTAATTCTTAAACTCTGATCTCACATCTTACCAGGAGTTTTCCTCACCCCTGTTCTTTAATTTCTATCTCACTGCAGTCACTACAGATTGCGATTCAATTTAGATATGTATCAAACTACTTCCATGAATTTTAATTAAGAGGCATCAAATGCCTGCGACGGTTTGGCTTTGGGGGTTGTTATGATTGAGATTGTGGCCCTCACTAGAGCTCCTACAGCACATGTAAGCAAGACCTCATTTGTCTTAATCAGTCAGATCAGATGAAGAAATCAGAGGCTTGGTGTCGTTGGTGTCAAAGGCTGTTGAATTAAATCCAGGCAGAGGCCATTCCTGTACATATATTTGTGTGACTTAACTACACCTTTAAGCAGCTAATACAAGTTTTATATTTATTTTAGTGCCACTGCAGCGTGTTTATTCAACAAATGGCACTTTTGTGCCACATTAAAAATGTCCTACTTTTTAAATACATTTTACATTACATAGGTTTACATTGTCTTAGACAGAGACTTTGAACAAAACATGAAAATCCATCTTTAAATATTGAAAATGTAAATACATAAATATGTATTTTTTACACATAATGTATTACGACCCTCAATTGTGATGTAATTTCCACCACAATCAACAATAATTAACATATGTTTTTAATCAAAAGTTGCATTTAGTAATTTCTAATCAAACTGGCTTTCAAATTCTGCAAAACGTGACATTTTATTTAATTATGTGTATTTAGGATTCATAAGCGCTTGTAAAAATGTAATTTACACCACAGTCACTCCAACCACAGACTGGCATTAAAGCCAATACATAATTTGAGATGTGTGGATACGAGAGCACAAATTAAGAGCCTAATCAAGTAACTATTCATTTGGTTTGACTGGCATTTACCATGGTGCGAGGTCTAATTTTAATGCTTTTCTTGTTTCTGACCTTTGCCATTCCATACATTTGATCCAGGGCAGGGTGCTGCATTAACACGGTCATCAGAATCAGCTAAGCCTCTTTGGGGATTTCAGCCATCTGTGAAGTCAATGAGTAGCTCTAATGTACTGATCTGCCTGGGACAGTGCACATCTCTCTCCATTTTCCTGTGCTTAATCCCATATAACAACAAATACAAGCAGATATGACTCGTCCCCATTCTGACTCTAGAAGGGGAAACTATGGCGAGCATGACAGACATTTTTTGCTTCTGAAATCCTGTCCACAAAAACCAGTGGTGGACAAAGTACACAAATCAAGTACTTGAGTAAAAGTACAGATCCGTATAATAATATATTACTCCAGTAAAAGTAAAAGTACACAGTTTTCAATATTACTCGAGTGAAAGTACAAAAGTACTTGATTTTTTGTGTACTTAAGTAAAAAGTACCGATAGATGAATGATTATTTTGCAGTTTTATATAGGCTACTTTTATCATTTAATTTTATATTAGCATATATTTTATTATAATCCTACTGTTTAAAATACCTGGGATTTTCTCAAAATAACCAATAAGGAAATAATGAATATAATAAGGAAAATATCATTAGATTTTCATAATTATTTTTTTCTTCTCAAACCTTAACTGTGGTGAATAAACACCCCTGGCCAAATGCCCCCAGAGAGCATCACTTCCCACTTTGATAATTACTGTAGTTACCATCAGTGTTGGGGGTAACGCATTACAAGTAACGCAAGTTACGTAATCAGATTACTTTTTAAGTAACTAGTAAAGTAATGCATTACTTTTTAATTTACAAGAGAATATCTGAGTTACTTTTTCAAATAAATAAATAACGCAAATAAATATAACTTTTTTATTTTAAAAACAAATAAGCAAGCCCTTTCCAGATTTAAAAAGTAACGCAAAAGTAACGTAACGCATTACTTTCCATAAAAAGTAACTAAGTAACGTAATTAGTTACTTTTTTATGGAGTAACGCAATATTGTAATGCATTGCTTTTAAAAGTAACTTTCCCCAACACTGGTTACCATGTTCTGAACATCACATCCTATCTAGATAGTTCAATAAAAAATATTTGGACTTTATTTTAAAAAAATTACCTCAATTTAGCACCAGCAAGCTCGTTAGCTAGACAGTTAGCATCAGCTAACATTATTGACTTATTTTCAGCATGGTTATGAATAAACATTTATATTGGTCACTTGGCTAGTTGATCCAGATACACGGTAACTTAGGCTATGTGTGCTGACAAACAATATAAAAACAGATGTCACATAGGGCTAAATGCATAACATATTAGTAAAACTGCTAACGTTACAGCAGCGGGGAAGATGAACGTGCATGAGTTATTTTATTTAATCTGTGTTATTTTAATGTTTTTTACCTAAAACATATAGAGACTGTTAATGTGTCTGCATTCAAGCATGTTTGTGGGCTACAGATCACCCTTTACAGCAGATTTAGTTCACAAACAACTGACAGCTTTGACCTAAATATGATTTTCAGTTACAATAATTAATCCTAACATTCGACATTAGTAACTTACTTTTAACAGCATCCGACGCGCGCGCGCTCACATGATCTCCCGGTTCTTACTTGTGAATTCAGTTCACTGGAGACTCGCACTAAACGGTTCAGTTGAATCAGTGAGTTGTCGACTCGAGAACAGCTGCAATCGGATCATTCCAATTCGTGAATGAATCGTTTGGTGCGCTTTGCGAACCGATTTAACGGGTTCATTGAAAATAATCAGTTCGTTCATGAATCAGACACCGCTTCTGCATCTCGAAGCACGTGATATATTATAAGTAACGATAAGTTTTATGAAATGTAGTGAAGTAAAAAGTACAATCTTATGCTTTGGAATGTAGTGACGTAAAAGTAAAAGTTACTCAAAATAAAACTACTCCAGTAAAGTACAGATACTTGAAAATTGTACATTTAATTCACTTTAATTCACTACTTCGTTACTGTCCACCACTGACAAAAACACAATCAAAGTGGGTGTTGACGGGCAAGATGCTTTGCTGAAATTCACTCGGAAAGTCTAAAGTTGCTTGTAGTGATATTCCCAATTCACTTGACAATACCTCTTCAACTAAAGCAGATTAAAAGTTTCACCATGTGAGCCAGAATGAGGGCATGCATTGGAGATATACAGTGGGGAAAAAAAAGTATTTAGTCAGCCACCAATTGTGTTTCACTTGACAATACCTCTTCAACTAAAGCAGATTAAAAGTTTCACCATGTGAGCCAGAATGAGGGCATGCATTGGAGATATAAGAGCATAACATGCTTTTCAAATCAAACCCGTTGATGAAACTTTAAAAAATGACGCTCTCAGTGACAGGCTGTACAAATGTAATGGAAAACCACTTGGCACAAAAAGGCCATATTATCAATTGCATAAAACTACTTACTGGTATAACTGAAAATTGATAGGAAAATGATGAGGGACATTTCTGAAGGAAGATGGCCATTAAATCTTTGGGTTAGAATGATGCAATTACATTCTAGGCAGGCAGTTACTTATAGGGTGATGGAATGATGGGAAGGCAATGGGATTGGGTCATCACATTGACATGAGAGTATTGCTCCATAAATGAGATTTCTCTCTCTAGTTAGTCTATTACTGACAGACTCTCTGAAACTTCCTCGAGGGAAACTCCACTGCAAGAACTGTTTAAAATGTCAATTATCATACTCCACAATGGAGTATGCAGTGCAGTCTATGAGTAAAATAACATGTATAAATAGATAAAAACTAGGAATACATTTGAAAACATGCCACAAGTTAATATTAATAGCCCTCAGGATCTATAATATACCGCATGTCTTTCTGTGAAGAACCTGGTTAGTTAAATTTGCTAAAGCTGTAATGTGGAGAATAAAACAACTTGAGAGCATGTGTCAAACATTAAGCGGTGGTGTCTTGCGCTTTGAATGAAGCCTGTTTGTATTTTTGTCTTGTGTGTGTTAGAGAAAGAGCATATCTCACTGAAGGCCAGCTCATATCATGGTGTATGTGCTGGTGAAAGCAGGCTTGTCATATCCCTGTGGTCAAAAACAGACATTAGTGTTGCCTCTCTGCTCTCTTATACTTTCTTACACACACACACACGCATGCGCACACACACGCACGCGCACACACACGCACGCGCACACACACACACACACACACACACAGGAACAATACATGTGCGGTGGTGTCTTGCGCTTTGAATGAAGCCTGTTTGTATTTTTGTCTTGTGTGTGTTAGAGAAAGAGCATATCTCACTGAAGGCCAGCTCATATCATGGTGTATGTGCTGGTGAAAGCAGGCTTGCCATATCCCTGTGGTCAAAAACAGACATTAGTGTTGCCTCTCTGCTCTCTTATACTTTCTTACACACACACACACGCATGCGCACACACACGCACGCGCACACACACACACACACGCACACACACAAACACACACACAGGAACAGAAGACTGACCAGCTTTCACACTGCAAGGAGAGAAATGCAGAAACACTGCAGGTGGGAAGGAGGCAGTGTTGACATATCATGACTGAGTTGATAAGGTCAGTAAGTCTGTACTTATGTTCTCCTTTAAAACCCCCATGTAATGGCTCAATGGTCTCAGTTTCTTTCCTGTGTTGACATCTTTCTGTTAGGGCTCGGTACAAATATTGATTTTGTGATTAATCACGACCTTCACTCAAACAATCACGCAGTAGTGTTGACAGCTCTGTTGATTTTAATAATTGACTTATTTTTAATAGATATACACTGCTATTCAAAAGTCTGGGGTCAGTTTTCTATTCTGGAAAGAAATTAACACTTTTATTCAGAAAAGACACATTAAACTATGTCATTAATTAAATTATGTCAACTTCAAATAAATGCTGTTTTTAAAACTCTTCTAAGAATCCTGTTTTTAACATTCATTAATAATAATTAACAAAAATATTGAGCAGCAAATCAGTATATTAGAATGCTTTCTGAAGGATCATGTGACACTGCAGACTGGAGTAATAGCTGCTGAAAATTCAGCTTTGCCATCACATGAATAAATTATACATTAAAAATATATTAAAATAGAATTGTTTTAATATTTCACAATATTACTGTTTGTATTACAATTTTGTTCTTTTTTAATCAAATAAACACTGCGTTTATTTGATAAAAAAATAGCAATATTGTGTGCATTAAAAATATATTAAAATAGAATTGTTTTAATATTTCACAATATTACTGTTTTTATTACAATTTTGTTCTTTTTTAATCAAATAAACACTGCGTTTATTTGATAAAAAAATAGCAATATTGTGTGTATAAGATATTTCTTTCAAAAACAAAAACAAATAACAAACTGTAATCAACCCAAACTCCCAAATAGTAGTGTATACATTTGTCATATTTTTTTAAAAAGACCAATTTTATTATTACTGATTTCACGTTTTTTTTTTTATCACATCAAATTGAAAAAAAAAAAACTTGCATATCTAGCATAGCATTAGCTGACTACTGAATCAGAATTGAATACAATTTACACATTTCAGAGCTGGAGAACTGGTCCTGATCCAGATATCAAACTGCCATTGATAAAATAAATAAATAATAATAATAATAATAAAACTCTCAATAAACTGTTGATTGCAATAGCTTCCACTACATTCATACAATATATTATCAAACCTACGCAAATCACAGTTCCCCACACAGAAAGAAGCCACTGAAAGAATAACAGTTTTACAACCAAATCATGCATGAATATTAAAAAAAAAGACGAGGCTGACCTGAGCACCGTTGTGCTTCCGCTTCGGTGAACACACGTCACCTCCCGGGTCTGGTAGCCCACCTGCAGATCCCAGGACTTCAAGCCCTGGCGATTCTGACGATTCCTCGTCCTCTTCTTTTTGATGAGCTCTCGGGTCTCAGGGTCCCTCATCCTTCCCTTCACCCTGACCCTGTCCCTCACACGTTCTCCTTTGTTTTCCTTCACCTCCTTTTTCGCTTTGTTTTTGCGCCGCTTGCCCTGACGCTCCTGCCTGGCCTGCCGGTCCCGCTTTGCCTTACGTTCTTGTTTCAACTCTCTATCTTCTCGGGTTTCCCGGGCCTGTCGTATAGGTGAAGCAATGCAGGGCCCCCAAGGTCCCACCCTCAGGCTGTACAGGCTCTCCTCACCCTCACAGGGGTCCGGCTGGCAGGTGCGGAACTCTGTGAGGTTGGGGCAAGCCGAACCGCCAAAAAGTGGTGGGGATAAAACCCAACGCAAGCGGTTTTGCAGACCCATCCCACAGCTCTTGGAGCAGGACGTCCATGGGGAGAATTCGGACACCACGCAGTCGCGTGGGCACGGGATAAGGCAGGCCTGCTCTAACCGTGGCTTGGGCTCAAAGTACTCGCAGATGGCATCTTCCGCAGGAATGCCATCCGACTTGTGCACGCAGCCCACTTCCCGCGTCTGGATGCCCTCTTCGCCCCGAGTGCACACCGCTGGCCTTGGCACGCCCACATTGCGCATAGACACCGGCACGCACTGGTTCCAGGCCCCTAGCTGCCAGTCATACAGCTCTTTGTGCCAATCGCACACCCGGAAGCAGCTCTGTTGGTTGCTGGGCCGCTCCGATTGCTGGCAGTTGGTGTGTAACGTGGTCCAGCCCTCGGAATGGGCACACCAAACTGCTCGGCTTTGACTTCCACCCGGACCACACTCGCTACCCATGCACCTACCCCATGGCCCTAAAAGAGAGACGAAGACAAAATAGACAACTTTACAATTCAGTAAACGCCTCATGAACAGATGCCAGTCTTGATTTGCGCTCTTGTTCAATATCCTGATCACATCTGGTTTCAATGCCTGCACAGGTCATAATTAATGTCTGCAACCTACATGCACTTAAGACACTTAAGTTCAAAACAAGATATGGGCAGTCAGGAGGAGTCACATGGCCATTGTCTGAATCAATATTCCTGTATTCCCAGAGACTCTATAATGCAAAACACTCTAGGGAGATGTGGTAGTGAAGACAAGCTGATTTTACTGATGGATTTCACAGTGTGACAGAGGGATCTTTGTGGAGAGGGTCACAGAGTACAGGGAGAAGAGAGAAAGAGGCCGTCATGTTGTTTTAACAAATTGGTACTTCCCACACATGCTGGTTTTGACATGACAAAATTGTAAAATCTCATGAATATTAATTAGGTTAATTCAAGTGTTCAAGTGAATATGAAATGTATTTAATTTCATAACTTACTACATAAAAGCTGACAATTTCCAACATCTGCCACTGTCAGTCCCAGGATTTTGTTGGACAGTGGATGGATACATGAAGCAGCAGCTGACTATTAATAGGATAGTTAATCTAAAAAATTAACATTCTGTCATCATTTACTCACCCTCAATTTTTCCAAACCTCTATGACTTACTTTTTTCTGCAGAACACAAAAGAAGATATTCTGAAGCATGTTTTAACTGTTTTGTCCATACAAAGAAAGTCAGTGGAGTCTTTCATTGTATGGAGAAAGAAAGTCAAAGAGATTTTGAATGACATGAGGGTGAGTAAAAGATAACTGCATTTTCATTTCTGGGTGATCTATCTTTTTAAGTATGAATCATTAGTCTAGTAATAATATTTTGGTTTTGTTTCAGGATGATGGGTTATTCTAAGCTAAAGTAACACCTCTGCATCTTCTAATTGTTCAGTCTCTACAGAGCACTAGAGACATAAGCACACAGTCTGAAGCAGTAAATCAAAGTGAGCTGGCAGATGAACTGAAATTCAGTCTGACAATTTGCTGAGGTCATGAAGGAAAAAAAGCATTTATACCACGTGATGAAGTGTTATATTGCATCTCTATTCTCATATTCTTCCTTTTCATGATATTCCGTAACCATCACATGAGGTCATTTCATTTGATTGCAGAGTTCAGCTGAGATCTTCTTGCAAAGCATCTTTTTTAAAAGCACTCTCTGTCTGACTACAGTGGTTCATTGTGTGCTCTGGTACCTGTCTTATAAAGTGCCTGGGTAAAAGGGTGATTTATTTCAGAGAAATGAAGGCCACGTGAAGCACTGCTTTATGACTCCCCTCGATAAGGACGAGACAGGCCGATGTAAATGTCAACGGAAGAAGCAGCGGGCTAAATTAGCCTACAGCTGCAACCACAAGGACCAGGTCAATACAGATCGATACCGACCACAAGAAAATGCTTTGGATACAACAGACGGATCCACCACAAACTGAATGACCTCAAACTCCGGAAAAAGATATTCATATACTCCATGCACTCACATGTAGTCTTTTTTTCCCCACCAGCGTACCCAATACAAGATTCAGATTTAATAAAAAACAACTAGCTGCGAGTAATTTCTGACTTATTCCACAAGCAGTTTGTCACATGGTTAGCCACTGTAAATTCCAATTTTCTGGGGAAATCAAGAGCAATTTGATTTTGAGAGCAAGAAGGAAGATTAAAATTCCACACTAGTGAACACGTCTGCATTAAACACTCAAAACATAACCTTAAAGAATTTTGTGGGTTAAGTACAAATTAAACTCAATCAACAGTATTCATGGCATTGTTAATTACCCAAAAATTAATTTCCAAATGTCCCTCCTTTTCTAAAAAAAAGCATACATCTGAGTTACAGTGAAGCACTTACAATGGAAGTGAAAAGAGCCAATTCAAAAAAGTTAAAAATTCATTTTTCAATAGTTTAGTCATAAGACTGTGTGTGTGTGTGTGTGTGTTAACATGATTTAAGTGTGAGGAAAAAAATATCTTACTAACCTTTTCTGTGTAAAGTTCATATCCGATTTTACAACTTTGTTGCCATGACAATGATAAACTCTAATACAAGACTGTAAAATTAGGGTTTCAAAAGTTATTTTGAACTTAAATTATAAGTGCCTTACTGTAACCCTGATTTTCTTTTAAGAAATCAAGAAATGTGTTGAAATTATTATTATTATTATTATTATTATTATTATTATTATTATTATTATTATTACTACTACTACTACATCAAGCCACACATGCAGAAGATTGAGCATGTACTGTTGTATTGAATCTGGAATATTCTTTAACTATAGCTCTAGCTCACAAACAACTGCATGTGTTTGTAGAGGAAGCATAATGGAGCTCCCCAGAGAAAACGGCAAGAGCTTCTTCATTCACAACGCCTGCAGCTGCAGGTGCTCAGAATAATTTATGAGCATGTCACAGGGTGATGTGGTCATCTACCGGCCAGAGGACACCAGGGAGATGCACAGCAAAACAGCATGCAGGACCGGGCGGCACATCATAGGAGCACGATAGAGTCATGCCCGCAAATTTTAGAAAGGACAGAAGATGGCTTTTTATTTCCACCTGTAAAGGTTATTTCCACCTGTAAAGGTTACAGTGGACGTGGTATGTTAAATGAAAAGAGATGGAAAAGCAGGGATATGGGAATGAGTAAGGGAAAAGAAGATGTCAGAAAAGGGACAAAAGAAGGAGAAGGAGAGAGGTTCATGGTAGATAAGACTCCTTTGTTTGTAGGCCGTTGCTCCAGCTGTTGGATCTACAGCCGCAGGGCATCAGTAAAAGAGCTCATCAATTTCCGTCTGCTCATCCACCTGCCACTCACTGATTTTTATTATCTCCTATCACACAAACATGGCCCAAATATGCACACATATGGCACAAGAACTGGCCGCTAACAGATGTAAACATGGTTTTTCAGTTAAATGTAACTCAAGTTTCTGAAAATTCATTTAGAGAGTTGCAAGCTAGAAAGTTGTTGTTCTGAATATTGAGTGCTGCAGATAATTGTAGCCATGCTGATATCCAAACCAACAGAGCAATTGCAAGTATGACATTGCTTTGTCACAATTCAAATAAATTTGAATTGGAAACTTACAATTTAGAACTATATTGCCGTTTACTTCATCTGTTTTTTTTCTCTGTCAATGAAGATCCAATCTAAGCCAATGAATGCACAATTTGTTGACTCTGAGCAACACATTCTGAATGAATCTGTTTGGAATAAATAGGTTTCATGAATGATTCAATGACTCACTCATTAAGACATTTCTTTCCTGAATGAATCTGTTTTTAACCTAACAGAATGAGTAAGTAATTCACTCAGAAATAAATTTTACATTCTTGTACGAATCTGTTTTTGACCAAATCAGTTGAGTGAATGATTCAGTGATTCACTCATAAAGATGTGTTTTATTCCTAAATGAATCATTCTTTTTTAACAAATCTGGGCCCATATTTATCAAGCTTCTCAAAGTACCATTTTAGTCTTAAGTGCTGAGAATTCATGACATTTACTTCTACTTTCAAACTTAAGTATAAAAGCAAGTTATCATATTTCTTAAAGCTAAGAATCACTCTTACTCTCCCAGTTATTTAAGACAGCTCGAGAGGTCTCTCAAGTGGTTAGGAGTTGCCAGTAGGGGCTTGTGATGGCGCTGAGGAGACAGAGACATGCACAAATCTTTCAGGAGAGGAAGAATGTTCTTGAAATGTTTGATGACGAGCGGTTAATCAAACAGTTACATTTCCTCAGTTATTCAAACAGAAAATGAGCAAAGAACATTTACATTACAAAAGAACATCATATGCACGAGTATATGCACTTTAAAAAACACTTCCGTTGTAATCAGTGAAGCTATTTACACTGCACACGTCTGCAGCACGTTATGGGTTCGACGGGGCTGATCGCGGCCACTCTATGCAAAACAGTTATGGAACTCTTGATATAATAAATCAAAGGAAGCTTTCTCAGATCAGTTACATTTAGCATAAACATTATCCCATGAGTACAAGAAATCAATTATACAATTAATTTAGTTTTTCAGTTTTAGTCAAACACAAATTCTCAAAGGCCTTCATTAGTTCAGTGAAGAGAAGCAAGTGACTGTTGAAGGTTATGAGACGTGTTTTTCACAGATATGACAAAGAACATCATATGCACGAGTATATGCACTTTAAAAAAACACTTCCGTTGTAATCAGTGAAGCTATTTACACTGCACACGTCTGCAGCACGTTATGGCTTCGACGGGGCTGATCGCGGCCACTCTATGCAAAACAGTTATGGAACTCTTGATATAATAAATCAAAGGAAGCTTTCTCAGATCAGTTACATTTAGCATAAACATTATCCCATGAGTACAAGAAATCAATTATACAATTAATTTAGTTTTTCAGTTTTAGTCAAACACAAATTCTCAAAGGCCTTCATTAGTTCAGTGAAGAGAAGCAAGTGACTGTTGAAGGTTATGAGACGTGTTTTTCACAGATATGATTATGTACAGTAGTCAGCTTTAACTGTCTGAGGATGAGAAGACTGAGAAGAATAGGAGAAAGAGAGACAGAGGGAGGTCGAGTGGTCATATGTAAAATAATTTCTCTTTCGCATCCTCTCCCCATCCCCAATTTGGTATTTCCTGTAGTGCCATGTGGGACAGCTAAACCTGGCATTTACCAGGGAAATGTAAAACAGTGTGAAATGTTGTTCCATACCAGCTTGGCTGGATTCAGAAGCTTTAGAAAATGGGAGCATGCTGGGCAGACACTCGGCATTCATGCACTTCAGATACTCACATGATGAAGAACTAGCAAAAACACAGGAAAAGGTCACATGTTTCACCCTGTCTTTGTTTAGATTGGCACAGTTACAAAGTTAAAATGTTATTCCATTAAATTGCATGCAATTCACTGTCAGAGGGGAAACAAGATATAATT